CCTCTCCCTCTCCCTCTCCCTCTCCCTCTCCCTCTTCTCTCTCCTCTCTCCTCTCTCCTCTCCTCTCTCCTCAGAAACAGAGGTCTTAAAACAGCCACTAGGGGGCCCTAAAAGCATCTCATAGTGGGAACCAGAAAAGGTTCTTCCCTCCCTCCTTGATGCCTGTCTCATTTTCTAAGTATCTAGTGGAACTGGCATCTGAAGAAACATCGAGAACATGGCAAGGAAACAAATCAGGCTTTGACTTATGAGTCAAGAATTTTTTTCCCACCCTTCCTGCCAGGCAAACCCCTCACTCCCCAAAAGGAACTGTTGCACCCATTGAGGGCCATCTTTACTACCGATAATTTCTACCTTTCCAAACAGGGCTCACTCTTCTAAGATTGGGGACCTTTTTTCTGAATATTTTCACTTTCCTCAAGAGCTGGGTACTTAGATGATTGACTCTTTGGGGGGTGGGTTTGAGGGGCATTAACAACTTGAAAAGCCAGGTACCCATCAACAAATCCCACAGACGTCAAGCGACTCGCAGTGTCACAAGCCTTAGAGCAGAAGTCTCATATTCTTTGTGTGTGTGTGTGTGTGTGTGTGTGTGTGTGTGTTCATGTTTTCCTGTGTGTCAAGTCATTGTCTTCCTCAGTCGCCTTCCACCTCATTTTTGAGACAGAGTCTGTCATTGAGTCTGGAGTTCACTGACTCAGCTAGGCTAACTGGCCAGCAATCCCCACGGTTCCTCCTGTATCCACTCCCCTGGCACTGGGATTGCAGATAAATGCCACGATGCCCAGCTTTTTTCATGAGTTCTGGGGTTCCAAACTCAGTTCCTCATGCTTACATAGCAAGCACTTTACCCATAAGTCACCTCCCCAGCCTCTGGGCCTAGTATTCTTGAGGGCTGGGTTCTGATGAAATGGTAATGGTGTTGGTGGGCTGTTGGTGTTGTAGGAAGGGCACACAAAATTGATGACTTGGGTCAGTGGGATTGACTGAGGTGGGAACTTACAGCAGGAGTTTACAGCTTCTTACTAGTCAACACAGAAAGCTTACCATCTCTTAAACAATAGTGTTATATTTGTCAAAACAACTAAATAGCAGGTCTGATCCTTCCAAAAGCTGTCCCAAATGTCTTGGTAGACTGCAGCATCTAGCACTCAGATTTTCAGGGTTCAGAATCCTTAACAGTCACATATCTGTTTCCCATCTTACTACTAAGGTTAAGATGTCCTTCACAAGGGTCAAGAATCAAACAGTGCCCGGGAAGCTCAGGCAGGCAGAAGCCAGATTGGTCTTCAGCCAATGCTAGAGAAATAAATACCTGTTTACGATATTCTGTCTAGACATGTTTCAAGTGAAAATTTAAGCACCATGCGTGAAACATTCCTCTGTCATTCTAGCCAATAATCAAAAGACAATTTTGAGGGAAAGAAAAAAAAAAAGCCCCTATCAGGGCAACAGGAAGAAGTCACGTGCTGTAGAATAAAGAACATTCAAAAGCCACCATATTAACACCAATGGAAATGTG